AGAAGGGCCTTTGTTGTGAGTCTGGAAGCAGCGGTCTCTCTGCAAAGGTCCCATACACCCTGTGCGGAGTCAAAGTTAGAGCTCTCCAATCAGCAGGGAGCATGACTGAAGAGAGATAGATCTACCTAAGTAGGGAACATACCTGAGTAGAAAAGTCTGTCCCTTGTCAGTATGCTGCAAAGAAGGGTCCTTGCTGTCTGTGTGGAAGCAGTGGTCTCTCTGTAGCATCCAATACACCCCCTGTTGAGTCAGACCCAAAGCTGTGCAATTAGCAAAGTTGAAGCTCCCTGCCGATTGCAGAGCTCCGGTATGTTGGACCTTTGCAGAGAGACTACTGTTTCCCCACAGAGGGCAAGCATCCTTCTCTGCAGCTTGCTGGCAGAGGGCAGGCTTTTCTATTCAGGTTGTGGCTGCTTTCCAAAGAAATCTGTTGCTGGAACTGTCAGGAGGAGGATATTGGAATACCGTCATTATTAATGTACATCTCAAACCGGAACTTAGTTTTGGATGAAATGAACCCCTGACAGGTTTTATTGCTGTTTTTGTATATTGTTGGGAACGTCACCCTCTCCATTGTCCTTATCACCATAGTACCTGGGCAGCACAGTGGCTGAGTGGTTAGCGCTTGGTAGTACTAGGGTCATCAGTTCCAACCACGGCACCACCTGCCTGGAGTTTTAAAATCTCCCTGTGCCTGCGTGGGTTTTCTCCCACACTCCAAAGACATGCTGGTAGGTAATTGGCTCCTTTAAAGATTGGCCTAGTATGTGTATGTATGAATGTGAGTTAGGGACCTTAGATTGTACTGATAATAATGTACAATATATATGTAAAGCATGGCATAAATGGACGGCACTATAGAAGTATTTATAATAATGATGGAAAATCCCCACTATTACTGTTGTCACTAAAACAGGAAGTGCAAGGAAATCTTCCAATGGGGACAACTGTCTAAGGCTAGGTTCACACCTCTGCAGGTTGTGTTTCAGCTGTCTTGCATTTTTGATGCATTTTGCTTTTTTTTTTTCAATTTTTCCTGTTGCTAGGCAGATTTAAATTGCAAAGCACATCAAAAATGCACCAAAAACACAGTAAATGCTTTTCTGCAGCATTTCCATTGAAGTCTATAGAACCCAAAACACAACTTTTTTGCATTCAAAAAAGTTCATGACCCTTTCCAAAAAAAACAGCGTCCAGTGAAAACGCACAGATGTGAACAAGTTCCATAGGAAATCATGCTAAATGGACTGTACTGCGTTTCTGCAAAACGCAAAATGCTGCAAAAACCGCTTAGGTGTGAACCTAGGGTAAGAGAGAATGTATCTCTCTTCCAGGACAGGAAAAGAACAGAAACCTTTAATGGGTCACAGACAGCTACCCCTCTAATCATGAAAAATGAACCTCTCTCAACTGTATCCAAAACTAAAAAAAACAGTCACACCCGATGCGATTTGCAATACTAGCTTCAAATCACATGGCAAGTCACACCCTATTGTCCGCAATTACATCGGTCATATCAGTGAGATTCCAACTTGGTCGGAGCCACACCGATTTCTAAAGTAGTGCATACACTACTTCAGGTGCGACCAGGGGCGGACTGACAACTCATGGGGCCCCCGGGCAATAGGGGATCATGGGGCCCCTGTGTCCTTGCCCGAACTCAAAAAAGCCTATGAAAAAAAAAAACAGGTGCATCTCATGGGGCCCTCTACTGACCCCGGGTCCTCAGGCAGTGCCCGAGTTTCCAAATGGTCAGTCCGCCCCTGGTACGACTTGCATTGACATCTGTGTCTTGCAAGTCGCACCTTAAGTCAGAATACCATCCGCCTTTGAAATCATGCGACTTCACTGTGAGTCGCACGATTTCAAAGTCAGATGGGTGTGACCGGGGTGTAAGTGTGGGCTTTAGATGTACTTTAATAAGCAATGATTTCCACATGTTTGCAGCAGATCCTCTTGGTGGGTGCCTGGCAGGCTAGCGCTACAATACCAGAATAAAATGAAGATCGCCATTGCTCACCTTCTGAAAATGCTAGTTTCCTGGCTGTCTGTGGTTTCAGTACTTTCTGAATTATTGCCCCAAACAAGTATGCAAAAAGTAAGGTCAGGAAAGTCAGTCAGTTATTCAAAGGATCTCAAATTCTTTGGATCAACTCAACAGCCAGGTAACAAGCATTTTCAATAACTTCAGCAGCCTTAATATTTCTGCATGTGAATGTTACTGTACAGGATCAGTGCCCTCTGCTGGTAGTAGCTGGCAAATGCATGTTTCACCAGGAGGTCACTTGTATAGACAGCCATATTCTTTCAAATAGAGAAGACAACATACATTATGCACCCACTTACCTACAATCCCAGAAATTAAGGTTTATACATAGTTTATAGAATGCTGTTTCCAGCTTATTAGTTCTCATAAATGCAGGTGGTAGACAATGGGGGTGATTTACTAAAACTGGAGAGTGCAAAGTCTAGTGTAGCTCTGCCAAGAAACCAATCAGATTCTAACTTCAGCTTGTTCAATTAAGCTTTGACAAAAAACACAAAACTGGAACCTGATTGGTTTCTCTGCAGAGCTGCACCAGATTTTGCACTCTCCACTTTCAGTAAATCAACTCCAATGTCTTGCATGGTGTAAAGCAGGGGTCCCCAAACTTCCTAAACTAAGGGCCAGTTTACTGTCCTTCAGACTTTAGGGGGCCAAACTGTGGCCAGAGGGAGCATACATTTTTCTGGCATCAGTGGGAGTAAACATCACCACATTAAGTGGAATAGTGCTTCATTGTTGGTATCAGTGGGAGAAATGGTGTGGTGCCCCATCATTGGTGTCAGTGGGAGGAATAGTGTCCCATCATTGGCATCAGTGGAAGGAACAGTGCCCCATCGTTGGTGTCAGTGGGAGAAATGGTGTGGTGCCCATCATTGGTGTCAGTGGGAGGAATAGTGCCCCATCATTGGTATCAGTGGAAGGTACAGTGCCCCATCGTTGGTGTCAGTGGGAGAAATGGTGTGGTGCCCATCATTGGTGTCAGTGGGAGGAATAGTGCCCCATCATTGGTGTCAGTGGAAGGTACAGTGCCCCATCGTTGGTGTCAGTAAGAGAAATAGTGCCCCATCATTGGCATCAGTGGAAGGTACAGTGCCCCATCATTGGTGTCAGTGGGAGAAATGGTGCTCCAATGTTGATGTCAGTTGGCAGAATAGTTCCTAGTATCAGTGGGAGGTATATTGTCCCAAGGGCCAGTTAAACGCAAGCAAAGGGCCGCATCTGGCCCCCGGGCCACAGTTGGGAGACCACTGCTGTAAAGCAACATGAAAAAGCAGCCAAGGAGCAGGGATGTGGGATAGAAGGATACAGGATATACAATACAATTCTGCCTTGACCCACCTTACCATGGCCCTGGGGGGGTCTCCCATACAATTATACCTGGGCATCAAACCATCCTTTTAATTGTAAATTTCATATGAGAAGTGATCCACAAACATTGAATTTCTATTTTCTTTCCATTTTTATTCTCCTTTTTTTCAGTTTTCTATCAGTTTTCTATCTATCTATCTATCTATCTATCTATCTATCTATCTCTCTCATCTATCAAATAATTGTTAAAACTGTAACGACAAGAAATGTCCCTACATACTTTAAAACAGTATTAAACAGTATTAAACCCAGAAGCAACATTTAATTTTTCACAGCTTACCAATTCTTAGATGTGATAGCTGCATTAGTCTTCTTTTTTAGGCTTTCTTTCTTCTATTTTCATCTGGTGATCCAGCCAGTAAGTCTGTTATTTTTTAAAAGAACAAGCTCTCTTGCAGATGTATATTTTATTTATTTATGCAAAACCTTTATCTCAAAAGAAACAGAACTGTTTGCTGTAACTGACCATGAGCTGGAGTTTGGCTTCAATTTGTTAGTGTATCTAAATCTGCTAGTACATCTAACACCCCTCTAACCCCAAGATTGACAATGCTGTTGTCTGCTGTGCCTCCTGTGCGCCTTCATCCAGAGTGGGGGCACTCTAATACAGGAGGCCAGATCACCAGGTGAAAACAGAGGGGTAAAAGCTAAGGAAAAACTAATACAACCACCACATCTAATAATTGGTAAGCTGCGATATATTACATTTTTGCTTTGGGGTTTAATACTGCTTTAAGTGCAGCAAATAGCTTTCAAAGCATATCTTTTTTTCTGTCTTCTATCCAGAGTTTATCTATCAGCCATCAAATCATTGTTGAAATTGTAATATTCATAAGATAAGAAACCTCCCTACATACATTGAATGCAGCAAATGGCTATTCAAACAAAACTTCCTCCTTTCCTTCCCTTCCCTTCCCTTACCTTCCTTCCTTCCTTTCCTTTCTTCCTTTCTTTCTTTCTTTCTTTCTTTCTTTCTTTCTTTCTTTCTTTCTTTCTTTCTTTCTATCTTTCTTTTTCTTTCTTTCTTTCTTTCTTTCTTCTTTCCTTCCTTCCTTCCTTCCTTCCTTCCTTCCTTCCTTCCTTCCTTCTTTTCCTTCCTTCCCTTTCTTTCCTTCCTTCTTTTCCTTCCTTTCCTTCCTTCCTTCCTTCCTTCCTTCCTTCCTTCCTTCCTTCCTTCCTTCCCTCCTTCTTTTCCTTCCTTTCCTTTTCCTTTCCTTCCTTCCTTCCTTTTCCTTCCTTTCCTTTCTTTCCTTCCTTCCTTCCTCCTTCCTTTTCTTTCCTTCCCTTCCTTTCCTTTCCTTTCCCTTTCCTTCCCTTCCTTCCTTCCTCCTTCTTTTCCTTCCCTGCTTCCCTTTCTCCCTCCATAAATCTCAGATACATTTAATAAAGTTAGACTTTGGCGCACAGACTAATACTATGAAAGATTTATTAATATATAGAACATGACATAGGACATTGTATAGTTTCTCAGAACAGCCAGGCCTAAACCAGACAGACAAGTAATTCATAGATTAGAGTCAGGGATTTCAGGCTAAGTGTCTCTATTGCTGATAAGAATGTTGATTCTTTCATGTTGTGCCTCGCCTCAGTGTATTGCCCACTTTGAGTCCATCCGGATGGGGATGTGTATTTCTCTATGGAGTGGGACAATTCGGTGTTCAGCAGCAGGCAGTGCCAGGCGAGGTGCCTGGAAGTGGAGTCGTCCATCCCTGGACATGGAGCACAGCACATCCTTGGGGTTCACGTCTTCCGGGAGCTCGGCTTCTCTGTGCCACTCTCTGTGTTCGTGGACAATTCTGCCGTCCTCTGCCTCCCTTTTCTTGTCGTGTTTTCCTGTCACAATCAGTTTCCTTCCTTCTGTCTTTACAGTCAGTTCCTCTGGAGGAACCTGGTCCACATCTAGGGAGAGCTCAAAGTTTCCATTTCCATTCAATCGTCTGCTGAGGAGCATTTCTCTGGGGGTGGCAGGAGGTCCATTCTGAATTGCCCTCTGTCCTAGGTTAAGGTGGTGAGGTGGGATTTGGTAAGCCCCCTGCATCCATTGCATCCTCCTCTCCACATCATTCTGCATTCTTTGCATTTCTTCTTGAAGCTGTGTATGAAGGATCTCCACATCATGGCTTGGGTCGAAGTCACGGATCTCATAGGAAGGCTGAAGATGGCTGGAGCGGAACATCTCAGCTTAGTTGTCCTTGGAACTTCTGATCAGGTTGGATAGAGAGAATCAATATTCTGATCTATTCCTGGTCTGTCTGATCTATCCCTGCTCCTTATATACACTGCTACCTGAGCCGTGTCCTGAAGTTCTCTCTGCATGTGGTGAGAAAGGGAGGTGCTGACTTGTACCGCATGTATAATTAAAGAGATTACACTGCGGGCACTACCCAGATGTCTTTTGGGAATGTGGCAGAGCAACAACTTGAACCATTGTGTAAACTCTCCAGTCAGAATTAAAAATGAAGGCTAGATGGGTGGTTCTGATTCCACAGAACTATGAAATGGTGGGTGGCGTAATAGTGTTTGGACACATTGTTGGACACTCTCCAACACTAGAGAGCTCCTAAGGCATCTTTGGATTGACTGGAGAAGGAGGTTAAGACTTGAGTTCCACACCAAAGTTTCAAAGTCCAAAAGACAAACTTATTCTGGTATAATGAAGACTGCCATTGATAGCGCTTCTTGGCCTCTTGGCTAAGATTGAGTGTAGTATCTGTTCTTATCCATTTTCAGGAACAGAACTCTGTTGTCCCATGTACAGAGGAGGGGTGCTCAAGTTAGTAATCCCAGATATAATAGGTGGGTTCCTTTCCTCCTGGGTTGTTTCTGGCCTGGTGTACCAGGCATATCCCACAGTTGTAGGAATGTTCTTCCTAAGTGCTAATGCCTCCTGGAAGGGATGGCACTGTTCTTGCCTGGCTATGGGCTGGGAAGTTCAAGAAGCTCCTGGTAATATGCCCTTGGGGCTGACGACCCAGGTAGGTCAGAAGAATACTATGGTCTTGGGATCCCTCTAAGTTTCTCTAGCACCAGGTCAAGTCACTGCTGCTTTTCTTGCACTATGCTTCTTGGGCAGGCATTTTTGGCTACCCTGGAGCAATTTTTATACAGGCCAAAAGGCCTGTCATGTGTATTCACCTTGCACATTTTATGTATTTTTCACTATTTTTGCACAAACACTTGAACTGCATTTGAGTTTGTTTTTTTTTTTCACTCCACAGAGAGAAGGTGCAGGTTTATCAGAAGCTGCCCAGAAGTTGAGAGGAGGATCTGTGGCCTTCACAGGTCTTTTTTCCTCCCCCAACTGGGGGCCTTTCTGGTGGATGCCTGATAAAGGGGTCCTGTGAGACTCCAAAACGTTGCCTTGCTGTAACTATGTAATTGCTCATTAAAACTTTTGGACCCATATTGGTGATCCTCGGTGTGCTGGTGACATTCTCCCTTTCTTCTGGAGAGCCCTCACCTAGTATATGGAGAAGCGGCTTTGGCTGGTCCCTAAGGATTGGAGTCTATCTGGTTCTGCTAGGTGGGCTAGAGTGCCACGCCCTGTCAGATGCCTTGCACCCCTGGGGGTTCAGGGAACAAGAGGTCCGACCACACTGTACCCTGATGCACTTTTTTGCTGTGATATAATGGTTCACTCTTTTTTTGTTCACAGGACATCAACAAGCACAGCACTGTGGAGCTCCATAAAGGGAAAAAAAAAAACTTTAACTGATTAAAAAGATGAAATAAACTTTTTTTCATAATATATTTGTCTTTTGGACTTTATTGTGACCATCCAGTCTTTGGCTCCTTACCCAGAAATAAAAATGAGGCCTTGAAGTTTATATGGGGGGACACAACTGACCTTTGAATATCCCTGCTCCCAAATACACTTTGTCACTGGCAAGCTGATCCATTCTTTATCTCCTTCTCCAGAAAAATAAATTTACGCATTGAAATTTACTTGGGGACAGAACTGACCAGCTTAAAGTGGTTGTAAACCCTTACATAAACCCAGTGAAGTGACTGGCCTCAAGTGATACATAGAGATAAAACAAATCCTCCTGCATGGGTTGTACCAGTTTATCTGCAGTCTTTTCTACTTTACATCTGTTCAAAGTCTAGGATTTATAAAGCTTGCCTGAGCTGTCATAAAAATAGGGTGGAGAGCTGAAATTACCCTCTGCAGAGCTCAGTGAGGAGAATTCTGAGAGCTGATTGGATGTAAGGGACACACCTCCCTTCACACAGGAACAGAGCCTCTTCCCACAACCCCGGGTAATGGTTGTGGGGGTCTGCGAGCAGGGGGCATATCGGAATCTGGAAGCCCCCTTTAACAAATAGGCCCCTAGATCCTGTCCCCTCCCTATGTGAATGAGTATAGTGTACATTGTACCCCTACTCAATCACCAAACAAATGTCTAAAATCAATAAAAACACAGAGACAGTTTTTGATTTAAAAAAAAAAAAAAACAGAATAACAAAAAATGGCACAAGGAACCTATGGCACACGTGCCGCAGCGAGCAAGCAGAGCCCTCTCTGTTGGCACATGAGTCAAGTCACCCCAGCATCACCCCAGCAGCCGAGCATCGTCCATGTGCATGCTCAGAAAGGAGTAGTGGCACCAGGTGATGATGTCACTTTGCCCCCTTGTGCTGATGATCATTGGAACATTGCCTCCCCCCCCCTTGTGCTGGTGGTCAGCGAAACTTTGCCCCCTTGTGCTGGTGGTCAGTGAAACTTTGCCCCCTTGTGCTGGTGGTCAGTGGAACTTTGCCCCCTTGTGCTGGTGGTCAGTAGAACTTTTCCCCTTTGTGCTGGTGGTCAGTGGAACTTTTCCCCCTTGTGCTGGTGGTCAGTAGAACTTTTCCCCTTTGTGCTGGTGGTCAGTAGAACTTTTCCCCTTTGTGCTGGTGGTCAGTAGAACTTTTCCCCCTTGTGCTGGTGGTCAGTAGAACTTTGCCCCCTTGTGCTGGTGGTCAGTGGAACTTTTCCCTTTGTGCTGGTGGTCAGTGAAACTTTGCCCCTTTTGTACTGGTGGTTAGTGGAACTTTGTCCCCTTGTGCTGGTGGTAAGTGGAACTTTGCCCCCTTGTGCTGTGGTCAGTGGAACTTTGCCCCAGTAAGGGAATTCCCATGAGACGACTGGTGAATAGACGTGCGCATGTGCACAGAAATGCACGATCACGCACATGCACGGTGAAGATTGGTGCCAGATGGACTATTTAAGAGGTGCCTCTGCCTGTGCTGAGTGCTGACTGGTCTTCAGCTGTTCCCTGTTTCCTGCTCGTTCCTGTGTGATTTCCTTGTTGCTGACCCAGCTTGTTTCTGACCTGACTCTGATTGCTCTCCTGCTTGATACTGGTTCCTGACTTCGCCTCTGCTCCTGACTTTGGCTTGTTTATGATTTGGTACCTCGCTGTCTGCCCGTTGATGACCCTGGCTATTCCTATGACATTGCTCCTGTCTCCCATCCCAGCTTCTTGCCTTGCTCTGGTGCACAACTGGCGATCCACCATACCAGCTCTACATATTACTACTGTGCCTGAAACAGAGGTTCATCAGTCTTCCAAAGTGTCCAACTGCAAGATCTGCAAACAACATCTGCTGGCGCTCTTGTCCCCCTGGTCCCTAGACACCCTCTATTCCACTTCCAGTGGGGTCAGGGCTAGTGACACAAGTGAGGCCGACCTCGTCATTTCAGTCTCCAATCAGGTACGTGACAGTACCAGTCAGCCAGTGATGGAGTCTGAAAGGGAGGCCTCTGCAATGGGGGACATCTGTCAATCAATCTCTGCCTTGTCTTACATGGTGCAGAGTTTGAAAAGAAACCTTGAGCACTAGGAAAACCAACTACCAACCAAGTCAGATGTCTCAACAGCCATGGGTCCCTCTGCAGTCTCAGACATAACCACCCAAACAGAGTTCAGCATGATTCATGGAACTTCTCCTCCTCCCGGTTCCAATACCTGAGTATTTCACGGGAGACCGCAGGAAGTTTCAAACCTTTCGTAATTCCTGTGAGCTATATTTTTCTCTGCTTCCAACCTTTGCCTCACAAAGCACCAAAGTGGGATTCATTATTTCACTCCTTCAGAATGAACCCCAATCATGGGCACACCACCTTCGTGAGCAACATGATCCGGCTCTGACGTCTATGGACTCTTTTTGCTCAGCCATGTCACAACTTTACGATGATCCCTTCCGTCATCAGACTGCGGAATCTATGCTTAGCAAGCTACAGCAAGGCCAAAGGCCTATAGAGGAATATGTCACGGAGTTCCGTATATGGAGTTCCGACACTCAGTGGAACAAGTCTGCTCTCCGCCATCAGTTTCGCCTTGGTCTCTCCAACATCCTGAAAGATGAGCTTGCCCGAGTTAGGGTACCAACCAGGCTAGAGGACCTGATTAACCTTGCCATTCAAATCGATCGACGGACCCGGGAAAGGCGGGATGAAAGAACTAGCAGGGGTGTCTTGATCTGCTCAGAATGGAGACTCCTGTCTCCTCGCCCACTGCTGTTACATTAGACATACTCTCCAGCAAAAGAGGGCATCGTAATTCTCCTAGAAGGAGCTTTTGGAGACAACCGTTATCTTCTTCTGAACGTCTTCGACGACAAGACTCCAATCTTTGCCTCTACTGTGGTGATGCGGGTTACTATGTACTGACATGTCCAGTGAGACCTCATAACCCTTCTCCTAGCTGGTTCCATATGATGCACCCCCAAGGAACAAGTCAAACGCACCTCTCCTTCCATCTTCACTTACAACTTGCTGAAAGGACTATTACTGTTCTAGCAATTATAGACTCTGGTGCCTGTAGCTGTTTCATGGATTCTACCTTCGCTAATCAAAACAATATCCCTCTCCGTACCAAGAAACAAAGATTTTCAGTCCATCTGGCTCATGGCTCTGGTATCAGTTTTGGCCCAGTGACGCAAGAGACTATGCCAATTTTCTGCCACTCCTCCTCGGGACATCAGGAATTTCTATGTCTGGATGTCATAACCTCACCCATATTTTCAATCATCCTCGGCATGCCCTGGCTAAGGGCACACAACCCATCCATCGATTGGCTGTCGGGGGAGATCCTC